GCGATGAGCTTCCGTAGCTCCGACGCGAGAGTGGAAGTGGAAGAGAATGCAGTGACGGAGATGGATCTGCGTTGGCGTGAATTTCTCAGAGGCCATGAGAGATGATGGGATGAGTGAGATACAACAGACTGTCCTTATATACCCATACCTACCACCCACTCGCCAGGAATTGTCAAAGCCTGGAAGTCTTATTAGAACATGTTACATTCAACACCGACAGGACTTTTGCAACAACCTAATATAAATAACACATTACGAAGTTCTGCCTGGTGACTGCTCTTTCAAACACAGCAACGAGCTCCCAGGGTGAACCAGTTGTATCCAACTTTTCCCTCCATGTTATTGAGTTTTACTGAGTTGTCAATAAATTGACAGTAGAGTTAGGGCGACAACCATGCTTTGTGATGAAGCTCGCGATGAAACTGGGTGAATTCTGAATGCAAAGTGAATTTTCATGAAGCAAAATATTGTTCGAAAGGGGAGCGGCGCAGACCATAATTTTTTTTTAAATTTTACTTCACCCCACACATAGAAATAAGCGACGTGCATCTACTTGAAGCTTACGACTTACTGATTAAGTTTCGGCCTGTCGTCCTCAATTCCGAGTGCGCGGAGGTAAAGTGGCGGTCGAATTTAGATATGGCTGCTCCCATTGCGACCCATTGTCCCATGACAGTGTGTCTGGTGTCTAAATAGGGGCATTTTAACTCAGGGAACTTAGTTTTTGATAGGTAAACCTTGCTGGAACTCGTGAAATTACGCAACTCTAGTGAATTTGGAAATGGCCACCGCTCTTGCCTTCTAAATCCCGTGAGTGAGAAACTCCGTCGTCATACGAAGGTATGTTTGGTGCCTAAATGAGGGCATATTGTGTGGAAGAGTTCAGTCCTTATATGCAAACTATATACTGCAACATATGACAGTGTATTTTCAAAATGTGAACCTGAAGTTCACAAATTTATTCAATTATCACTCTGAACCAAATATCACGACTTTTGAAAAATATTTACTCGTTATATTGTGACCAGGCATGATTTCCATGTCTATTTAAAATAATCAAAAGGTAAAAGTTCTACATTTTAGTACCTAACATGTGCATATGCATCAAGCCCAGCACACGTCCTTAATTCTGTTTCCTTTTTAGTTGGCTTTCGTCGGCATCTTCTTCCTCGCGAGTCATCTCATTGCCAAAGACTTCAGCACCCTTGCACGAACATTCTTCCGCACAATTCATACCACAACTGATACAGCTGCAGTTGTCAGTACAAGGTTTGCTGCCGCGACGCGAGCACAAGAGCTCGTCCAACATTTATGCTGCAGCCTTTCCCCCAAATAATTTAGGCCTCCAGCTCTCACCCGCTTTTTACCATCCATACCCTTTTGGGGATGGAATGTCTGGATATGCAGTGTGTGCTGACATCCAAAAGAACGTATGATACGAGGCAGAGTTCACATGTTGGGAAAAACTGCGCTCCCATCCTCCGGTCCACAGCCTGCGATGACAATTCGTCTGGCATTTCCCAGACAGCCCCGAATTTAGAATTTCTGTTTATAACAGTATTGAGTCGAAATTCAAAGCAATTATTGTCGGGATTTCCAAAATTTGACCTCATTTGTGTTCTCTATTCGTCTGCATTTTCCTTTCTGATCAACGAATATGGATTTTTTTTCATAGTTTTGCATGAGGAATGTGCCAGGATTACTTCGTCCGACAGAGCTGTGCCTGCACACAGCTCTGCGGTGCTCCACGCCACAAGCGACAGCGAGAAACCTAAATGGTGATGGACTTTCAGAACAATTCATGGAGGCCTGTGGCAACGCAAAAGGTAAAAGTTGTGTTCATTCCGTGCACATGCAAAGAAAATACCAATGATCAGCTAATGCTGCGATCTCACCAAGAGCACTCGTCAGTGTTGCTTTCACAGCCCATGCGATGGGTGTGGTAGGCCCAGCCTTATAGTACCAGACATGTAACAGTCTATGCAAATTTGGTGATCAGTGGAACCCTCTTGTGGACATTATCGCTGGCCACAGAAACGTGTTCCCTTCGGTCTCAAAAGTGTGTCTACCAAACATTATTGCTCTACGATGAAAGGCATTGAAGATGAAGGTGCATGAACACGCCCAAGCATTTTCCACGATCCATCATTACACCATTGTGCGACTATATATTTTACCGTCCATGCAAAAGTCATGCATCGTATGACCTTTTATATTTGCTCTCTTACATTTTTTAACCTTTTATCACGGCAGGCAAAGCATTTTCGCAACGTAAGCTGACAAGGGAAGTCCATTCTTGCAGAATTTTGTTCTTGCCGAATTTTCTAAATATGAGAAAGTTCTCCTATCGAGATCGGACAAAAAGGACAGTATCATCATCATAGAGACGCATCTTTACTAAGACACCACCGTTATTGACACCCTGGAGGACCAGACTGCCTCTACAGATTCTATCCATCGATATGAGGAACAGGAAAGGAGTGAGAACGCCACACTGACGGATAGCCGACCGTTAAAACCATGCTCCTGCGGCAAATCGTACACCTTTTCGAGTGGCAAAGCTCATATAAACCTCATTGGCATATTCCCAGTGTATCTGGTGTACAGGTCGAGAGAAGAGGTGGTCCGTGGTGCTGAGAAATCTGCTCATCTCCCCTTCGATGGCTTCTCCAACGACTGCACGAGCTTTCTTTTCCTTGCATGGACCTTAGGTATGCAGAGGAGAGTGACTTCAAGGTAATTTGTGCATCCTGTCGAGTGGGTCCCGTACAAAGAGGAAACATCCAACCCGTTCAGGCCAGGAGACATTCCGTTCTTCAAGTTAGCCATTGCTTCCCGAATTTCTTCCACGATGAGAAAATTCTTCGCGCAGATAGGTCCCGACTAGGGTTCACCCAAGTCCGCCGTGGGTGGATTTCAGAGATCCAAATTTTTATTTCTTCTTGTACTGTAAGTTCCGGGTGGCGCAAAAAAGCGGACTGTAGCCTGCTGGACGCTTTATGAAACCTGCTGGGGATCATCTAGGCTCATGATTTTTTCTCATCACATTTGTAACACTAAAAAATTCATTTTCGGAAAGTTTCATGTGTTTAGGTTGTCTGAGTAAAAAAAATGAAGTAATTTCAAAGTGGAGAAATACAAAATTTGCCGTTTCCACGCGTGAGGTGGATGGAGTTTCGACTGATTTCTCTTCTTTGGCTCGATAAAAGCTGCTTTCTATGACATGTCGTCGTCGTAGAGTAGTGCTACTTTCGTACGTCGTAGTACCAGAATCGATACTGCGAGGTCTCCGGTCGATTCGCATTAAAATCCTTATCGCCTTGTCACGATGGCGTGGCGGATCGTTTTTATTGGTGTCCCGCGACGGTTTATGTCTTGCGAAAACAAGGTTCATGCCAACAAAACAAAATTCATGCCCACCGTATATGTGTATGTCGATGGGGAAATGATGAAAAGTAATGAAATCATGGGAAATGAAGTGCTGCTTCGGATCGAGGGATTCATTTTGAGGCTGTTATTCTGTTAATTTTGCTTGCAATTTTGCTACCTAAAGCGATTTGATGGAAATACACGCCGCTTTTCTTCGGTATAGCGTTTTAAATTGTGAGTCATTACGTTCGACTCACCCTGCATATATAATTTTTTTTAAATTCATCTCTTGGAAGTACAAGCAATCCGTATGGATACGCTTTGCCTGTCGCCTCAGCGTATCCATAAGAAATGCATGAGAGTAGAAATGAACTAAATCACGCAGAAAGGGAGGGACAAGTCTCATGAACGGAGTGAGATAGCAAGAAGCCCCTGCTACCAAACAAGCAGACTTAATTATCGAGATATCACGACTACAACCGAAATAATAATTTTTTTCTCGCAGCACGTAACAGGCGAGAGATGCGGGAGACTGTCATATAATCGTAAGGCGCTGAGGTCATCATTTCACGTCCGGCGAGATGCCCGGAAGAGGAGGCTGAGGAAGGCGATCAGGTTGTACACCACCACCATGACCACCAAAACCAAAATGTCCCGGAGTTCATTGTCCTAAAAACGAAGAGACCTCCTCAACGCAATTTCGCGTCCCCCGCGCTTTAAAGCGATCGATCATTCGAACCTTGTCGAAATGGAAGTACTCCAGGATGGCATCGCCGCTAGGAGGGCACCCGATGGAATCCCCGCAGTCGATCTCGAGGTCTTTCCACTGATTGATCATGAGGGCCTCGTTCCCGTAGTAGAACCACGAGATGTACTTCAGCCATATGAAGTACACGGGGATTGAGCTGTGAAAGGAATCAGTCGGGAGAGATTATAGTATCAACTGCAGGGAAATGAAAACTCAAGGAGCTACTTTTTCATGAAATTTAAATCCTGAAAGGAAGGGAAAGCTCAATTTCCCTAGTTCATGAGGGAATTCTTATTTCAGAATTCAGGTTCCTGAATACTCCATGTTGCACTTTCCTTCCATTGTTTTTCAAATAGCCTTTCTCATCTCCCGCAAGAATGTAATACTGTACTCCATGATCTCTTCCCGTGGTTAAATTTCACGTCTGATAAAGCGTCCTGGGATGTTCTCTTCCTTCAAACCAGATTCATTCTCCTCCAGATGTTAGACAGCCTCTGTCAGGTCTCTCTCCCTCTCTCTCCCTCTCCTTCTCTCTCCCTCTCCCTCTCTCTCTCTCTCTCCACCTGACTGAATGTGAGAATTACTGCAATTGTCCCGATGGAGACCCGTGCTCCCGACTGCGCTTTCTTAGGGTCGGCTCACTTTATACGAACAGGTCCCTCTCGCAGATGATGCACACGTTTGGAAGGTTTTCCCATGACGAGGGATATTCTGCTTCCTTCCCGAAAATGTTTCCAGCATCCGCAAAAAAAATTCTACAAAAGGAACTTTCGCTTCAAGACATCAGAAATACTAAAAATGTGCCTATCGGAAGAAAAGCTACATGCAGTACTCGAACGAAAGTCCTCTCGGAAAGCGCAGAACTCAATATTTCCCCAACTGCCGTTGGTTTAGTTGCCGTGGTGCGACGAACACGATGATATTAGCAACACGTACACGCATTTATTTTCGTGTCCAGAGAGGACAGAAAGAAGTTTAGCGAAAAATTTTCAAGGGCAAAAGTCAAGCACAAAACGCCATTGTCCTTATCATTGGATCAGGATTTACTTTTCGTGAAAGGGACAAGGCGTGACATATGTTCTCTGTCGTGAGGAAAGGTTTTCTTCGGAGTATCTGTTTTCATCAAGTTTTCTTTCTGTCTTAACCTCGATGGGGATTCTTATTATTAACATTTCTTTTCCATCTGTCACATGCAATAGGTGAACGTACTTGTTGTTGATGAAGAAGCCACCAAACAACATGTACGGAACGAGAATGGGTGGACCCACGGTCAAGGCCAGACCGATGCTGCGAGTTACACATGAGATCATGTAACCTAAAACAAAACGAGAAAATATTCGGAAATCCAATATATTTGTCATTCAGGCTTCCAGCATGCGAACAAATATTCTCAAAATGCACAATACCGAAGGCTGTGGAGACATTTGCGACGATGATCATGATGAGTGTGCATACGAGGAAGCGCTCGATCTTTTCGTTGAGGCCGATCATAAAATAAGTGACAGCGGTGAAGACGGCAGGAAAGAAAATGGAGAACGGGAACTCGGCCACGACCTTGCTGATGAAATACGCATCCGTCCTGTACATCCCGCTCTGGTTTTCCCTCAAGAAGACTGGTAACTCTTCGCAGAACGCCTGCATGCATGGAGACGTATGCATCCGACCATTAGGAGTGAAAACTGACGAGCAAGCGCGCAAATACGGAATGGCAGAAGCTATCTTCGAGAGAAACTCACGTTGAACACCGCCAAGGCGTTCTGGCAGCTCGCATGGAAGAGGAAGAGGAAGACGACCCCGTTCAGGTTCATCAATCCCTCGACCGTGTTGTAATCCTGCTTCAAGTATACGATTCCCATCAGTAGAGCCAGCATCTAAAAACGCAAAACCCCATCAACGACTCATACCTGCAATTTTCTCACAAAAATAGGGACACAGAGAAAAAATTGAACTCAAGTTTGTATCCTTACAAGCACAAGTGAATTCACAGAACTCAGGCTATGGTAAACTTCTGCAAAATTTTTCCTTTTCCATATGATGCACACGGAGTTTAAAATGACAGATTATTATATTATTGTACTGAGATTTCTATATTTTGCCTGTCTCTAAAAATATATATATAATAAAGCCGATGTCCACTTGGGTATACGAGTGATATCGTGGTCCTCTTTCAAAGAAGCAGAAAGAAACTTCCTCAATATTTCCACCGATTCGGTATGAAACTCTCTGCGATCCCTGCTGAGTTTCCATCGTGCAACATTACTTGTTGAAATCTATCAATGGCAGAAAGGATGGTACCGACAAATGCAGTCTTTTCGGAAGACCCGGAAACTTGGATTATGTGTAATGGAAGATGTAAATTTATAATGCGTGGAGCAATGCGCGGGAATTGCCTAAAAGGATGTCGATTGAGAAATCTTAAAAAAACTCATTCTAGTGGAAAGGCCGGGAGAAATGCAGGACTCGTACAAGTTTTGGAGGATTGAAATGCTGCACTGAACATCAAGGCTGTTTTTTTGGGAAGAGTTCGACTTTTGCGTCGGTAAGCCATTTGAAAGGTACCCACCAAGGACTGGAATAGTCGAAGTTTGATTATGAAAGGTTCTCGAAGGTTGGCGATCCAGCATCGAGCGATAACGGCGCGAAACTGGCCGAACCAGGACATCTTGTACTTGAACTTCATCTCGTCCCCCGCCTCATTCGCGTCTGAGAGGTCGTTCGAGACCCCATCGACCACAGCGTCGCCGGTTAAGCCGACTTCCAGCGCCTTCCCTTCCTCCGAGTCTCTGAACGCGCTGCAGATCTTGAGAACCCGTTTTCGACATTCTTCTTCTGCTCCCGGAATGATGGCCAGGGTGTGGACGTAGAAATCGGCCGGGTTATAGTTCAACGGGCATTCGTATCCCATCCTAGGCACGAAAAACATTGCAGGAATACGAAATAGACCAAGAAACGACTTGACTGACATTTAGGGGAGCGGCACCATTTCGCGAACAGGGATCCAGTTAGCGAACGAGGGTCATGAAATGCGATTTGGTCTTTTGTTTCTCGAGTTACACGCTCCAGCTTTTGGTATATGCATAAAATGGATTGATTGATTAATTAATGCTTGGGATGGAGAGTGAAACTAGACAAAACTAACAAAAGGCCAAATCGCATTTCATAACTCTCGTTCGCTAACTGGCTCCATGTTCGCGAACTGGTGCCGCTCCCCTTATTATTTCACCCACAAATGAAGACAATGGTCGAAATTCCTCTGGGAATTTCTGATCCTCCACAACGAACAAGTTCATACGCTATCTACAGCGACAGTCGTTTTTACTGGTAAAAATTACTATTCCTTATGCTCACCACTTGGGCAAGTGCTCCTGCACTCTATTGCTAAGAGTGAAATTACTTCGTCTGCTAAGCTGCTAAGCTAAGAGACAAGCACCTCGCTCTGTATGAACAATATTATTCTGGAAAAAAGACATTTTGATTACTCCTCTGCAATATAAATATGTTATTAATTATGGGATACAGAGACACGCTTTCCTTTAATGAGAAAGCAATAAAGACATTTTTGGAATAACTCATGCTTTTACTAAGGAAAATATTATTAATATATTCGTTGTTAGGGCTGTATTGATATATCGGCTACCACCGGTTTAGGCCCCCGGTGTTGAACTATCGGCGCCATCGGCCATTCTATGGCGCCGGTGCCGGTGCCGGCGCACCAAGGACAGGCAACGCGACCGAAAACTTGCGTGAGAGTGTGAACCCGGCTAGGCGCCGGTCTTCCTGTCTCACAGACTGCCACTCCTGCCAGCCTCTCCCGGAAAAAATTATCAATCGGATTATACTCTAGTCGGATTAATGGAACCGGCAGAGGAAAGTAGCGGTAAGGAACGGGAAATCATTGCATCTCCATTCACGTTATGCTTTCGCAAGAGATGACACTAAATGCTCTCAACAGCAGTAATGCGTAACAAGCTAACCACTGACAGACTTATAGAGAGAGACAGGCAGGCTGAACTCGATCAAAAGTGGTCTCCATCGTTTCAAGGAGGTATACTAATATGTCTCACATGCCTTCCAATTAGGCCTTTTAGAATTTAAAGACGACTCCATTTACAGGCAACAATCGGCACCGGCACCGGCCGATGGTTACGAGGAGAAAATCGGCCATCCTCCCACCGGCCAAATGTAGCCATCGGCTCAACCCTATTGTTTGTGTATTTGCTCAAGAGGACGAGATTTCCTCTTTGCTTTCCAGGCAACTCTATTCATCAAAAGCATATACGTAAGTATATTATTTCCAATTGTGAGTACATGCCCATGAATCGGCGCAAATTTGTCCTTGCTACCCGAGTGACCCGAAACCTCTCCAGTCCAAATAATGCCATAGATTTCTTGAGGATCCTTACTGTTGAAAAAAGGGTATGCCGTGTTTGGCCTGTCCCAAATAGGCAGTTTTCCCCTCTGCCAGGAGAAGAATCCGATCGAACATGGCGAAGACCTCGGATGAAGGTTGATGGATGATGGATACTACGGTCTTCCCCTTCTCGGCCAGGGACTTCATGAGAGCCACCACTTGTTGGGCCAGAAACGAGTCCAGGCCTGAGGTCGGCTCGTCAAAAAAAAGCAATGGCGGGTCCATCAGGACCTGTTTTAAATAAGTCATTCTGTATTTGAAGTTAAGACTTAGAAAAAATATCACTGAAAAAGAAATTAAATGTGGACCTCGGAGGCAATGGAGAGACGCTTCAATTCTCCGCCTGAGATGCCTTTAATCCGACCAGGAATGCCGATTATCGTGTCTGAACAATTACTCAATCCCAACTGAAACAAGTATTTGAATCAAGGGTCAGGTATGTTTTTTCGAAATATGCTTACTATCTTGGAATAAATGAAAAAGTAAATATCTCACCTCCTGAATAACTTCTTCAACTCGTTCCATTCGTTGCTGATGCTTTACTTCTTTGCCCATCCTCAATATAGCCTACAGAAAAGAACTTCATTCATTCATTTTTGAGAATACCAGAGGGATTTCCCTTACGAAAATATCCTATAGGATCCAATGAGATTTTTGAAACATAAAAATCGTATAGGATTCTTTCGAAATCACATAGAGTTCCTTTAGGATCCTATAGGATTATTATTGTATCCTATAGGAATACTAAAGGAATTCTATGACATTTTTATGTTTCAAAAATCTTATAGGATCCTATAGGATCTTTTCGTAAGGGTTAGCTTTCGTTTATATTTCCCTTGTTTATACCTGAAATCGTAGGTGTTCCCTCACAGTGAGGGTGCCGATAAAATAGTTTTCCTGTTGGATGTAAGCGGATATGCCTGCCAAAGTGCTCCTCTTGATGGCTTTCCCATTCACCATGAGTCTACCAGAGACCTTGAGTTTTCCCAAGTTCCTGGACGTCATGACGTTCATCAAAGTCGATTTTCCGGCTCCACTTGCTCCCAGGATGGCTAACATTTCGCCCGGATGCACGATCCCACTCACTATTTAAGGAAGAAATGTGAAATTTCATTGAAAGTCAAGACATGGACGAATATTAAATTGCGAAAGGAAATAAGACTTGGAATACCGTCTTGAAGAATATGCTTAGCGTTTCCAACATTTGCCTTCCGGCAGAGCTTGAGGAATCTATTCCAGGTAGATATTTGTGGAACGCTCCAAACATCCACATTGTGGAAAGACAAGACGATTTCGGGGGAAGGAGGCAGGACGGCACTCCCTGATCGCTCCCTCATCGGCTCCATATCCAATTCAATCGATCCAGGCTGTCAAATAGGAGGAAAATTTTATATCTAAGCTAGAACCAGATCCATCAGCAATTTCTGATTCAAGATGGAGTTTTTGAGGGTTTTGCATCAATTACAATGGGCATCAGCCCAAGGGATTCGAAATCAGCATTTACTGCGACATGAAAATGTTTTTAAAAGCGCTAAAAATTTATTACGAAAGATTTAGAATAATGGACGTTAAGTGTTCTTGATGGCCGATAAGATCCCAGGCAGCAAGGCAGCACGCCACGCTGGGTCCACATTAGCTGTGAGTGGACAAAGATAAGGTAACATTGCAGTTGGCTGTCCATGTTTGTCCCACTTTGGCGATAATGTAGGAGCCACATATGGGCGAGCCATCAATCTCACTTATTTGTGCAAAGATGATTCCCCAAATTGAAACGAGATGTTTCAGTTGATAATGGCGAGATTTACTTGTTATAAGTCCTGAATACCCTCCACTCGGTACCTAATCTTTCCCATACTAAGTGCCCATGTGAGGACACACGAATTCCTCAACGCATTTGTTCAAATAGGTGAAGAATTCCAGAGGAACTCCTCGAAATCGATGAGGAAGGATGGTTTAACTTGGGGTCGGACTCGACGGAGTGAAGAAAATTTAAATTCCTTCAGAATGCGTCGGACGCGTCTGGCTACCCGTCGGAGGATGCAATTTCCAGGCGTGATGAGAGATCTATTGTGGGATCTTACAAGGCAAGCGCTTACAGAATGGGAGAGAAATCGACGAGCAATGGATGGAATCAAACTGGAGTTTTAATCTTGTGTGGAAAGTGAAATTCCCAGGAGATAGTACAAGAGGTTTTGCAGTACAAGTCATTGGGAAGGGAAGCATGACAATCGTGTACAAATGTATCGATATAAGCTTTTTCCATGCCTCTGGTGAGCGCCTGAAAGTCCCGTCGCACGTCAGCGTTTAAGGCACTAAGGGCAGATGAAGAATCGACCCCCATTGAATCAAATTCTAGCTCATAATTACCACGTATTGTAGAGGACCACAAGGAAAGGCCTTGGAGCCATTTTTTTGGCTCCAAGGACGAGATTGGAATTCGAGAACGAGATTGAAATTCAAAGTTTCAACAAGCATTTCATGCATAAGTGCCCATCGGGATTCTGAGTTCAGAGAAATTCAGACTTTGAAGGCAAATGCCCTCGGGTACAAAACCTCAGGGGAGATATTTTCAAACAACTTTTTTTTCCTTCAGTCAAAGGGATGAACCTGGAAAGCTGAAACTTGAGATGGACGTGGGAAAATATTTAATTTCAGATGGTGGCATATTTTTGGGGGTGAAATTTTCAAATAATTTTTTCCGTCCTACCGAATTCGGCAGTGATACAAAGATGAAATTTGGCACACCAATTACTGAGGTGATGTTGAGTTCAGAAAAAAATCAACTTTTTGTGGTGCAGGGCACTGCTTTCGGCTGCGTCGACCTTTCCTTGTATATTTTTTCACCAGCGAAAAGGGCAAATTGATAGTAATTTTTAGTTGAAACCCCTAAGGGAACCTTTTTTTCTGCAAAAAGCGCATTTTCCCGAATCTTTTATCATCCAATAAAGAGAGAGAGAGAGAGAGAACTTAAGAAAGTTGAAATATGAAGCAGAAGTACCTGTACGGTTGCCGAGAGCATCTCCTGATTTTCAGATATGACCAATCAGGGGCAGATTATGAGACTCGAAGTCAGGTGCACAAGAAATAATCGGAGTAATTATTTCGATGGTTCGTTCTCTCTCGGCACACATTTCGACAGGCATTACTTTTAATACGATTTGGCCTTTGAAATTAAAATTAACGAATAAATCACAAACCTGAACAATGGAACGCCGAAGGCGCGACCATAGCGCTAGCATATAAAACTTCTGCAGGCCAATATGTATGGACATTTTTATTTAATACGGCTTCCTTCATCATATGATTTATTTTCCATTTTTCTCCCGAACGAAAATAAAAATATCTTCCTCCTAGTTCTTGTTGAACAATGCAAACGTAGTTCAACGAAATATCTTGACTATTTCTTTCCAGAAAACTTTCTCTAGCTCCGCTAAGCAATTGTTCTGGCACAGACGCTTTCTAAAAAGCTCTGCCAGCTATTCCGCGGACGAGATAAGCAGATGCTAATCTGGTCCGCATCTATTTACAATTTAATCGGCCGTTAAAGTACCCATCCCATGCTGCCCTTCTGCTCCTGCAAGCTGCAATGAACCCCTCCTGCGGTCCTAACAGCTTGTTTAGGCCTTCTAATGTGAATACATTGATTTCTGTCTGTGCGCAAGGCTTCAAACTCGCAAGCTTTTAATCCTTGTGGGATGGATATTCCTGTTATTATTGAATTAGAATGCAATTCCCTGTTACTATTCAACTTTCAGACGACAATCGGCTATGAGATGAAAATGAGGCATCGGCCCACCATCCAAAGGTGGCCTTCGGTACAGCCTTAGTTATAATGAACCTAGAATGTGTTATTCGTTCACCGTGTCCACTACCAATAGGTTGATGTGGGATAATAATAATAAGCGAAATAAATAAAGACGTGGAACGCCTAGTCATGGCAATTATTTCCTACCAGCATTTCTTCAGTAATTTGAAGGAAATGGGAAGAAAATGTAGAGAAAAAAAAAATTTTTTTTTTTTTTTTGGGGGGGGGGGGGGGTTTTTTAATGAAGCCTTGCCTTTCGTTTGTTTATTGCTTTNTTTTTTTTGGGGGGGGGGAGGATTTTGAATGAGACCTTGCCTTTCGTTTGCTTATTGCTTGAGTTCGAGGAGCGGAGACCCTGGCCCTCCCGACGATACGCCGCTGATTAATGTAAAAAAAAAGAAGCGAATAAACTTGAGTCGGCGATGTTCGTATCAAGAAGCAAAATTTCCTCGAAGCAAACTTTGAAGCGAATAATTGAATTTACGTGAAAGAAGATTCGGGGCTGCTGAGCAAAGTTCAAAATGGCTTTAAAAGACGCTTACATTAATGATAGGGAAGGAACTGTCCGCTATCTAGAATTATTCACCTTCAGGAGGGAGTTGAACCCCTTGAGGGAGTTTTCTTGTTCGTACCACTGTACACAATACAGTACGTGAAAATCAGTCAAATGAGTACTAGTATCCCCATTGGCGTGCCCAAGGGGGGGGGGGGTTATGATCCTCCCATCTCCCCCTCCCCTTGGGGTACATTTTACAGGTGAGATTCTAAATATAAAAAATTACCATAAAAGTAGGGTGGGTTACCATTTCATCATATGTCAATCATCCCATCTGGATTCCCTGGGCACGCAACTGAGTATCCCTCTCTTCCGATCTTTGCTGCCCCTTTCGAGCGAGACGCCCTATCTCAAACGCCGGCCCTGAATATCGTGCAGACTTTGGGTTAAGCGCATTGATTTCTGTTCTGTCATGTGATTTCACTCACCGAATGTGGACGGAGAAGAATCATATGCAAATATTCAACGTAGACGGTATCTCCTATATGAAATTGCATAAGGAGGGGAAAAAAGAGGTGCCAGACACTATAATACATTTAATAAATAAGTATATCTCAATTACGTTTTTGTTTCTTGGAATCTTGATTGTGTCCTGGGAGACATAAGTGATAATTGCCGTGAAGATAATCAAGTTTGCCGTATCCATATTCCTGTCCTCATTCGTATAAGGTAATACCACCGTCACGAAGGGGAGCCACATGAATGCTATTCCTCCGAACGTTGTGAGCATTCAAGAATTGGCCCGTAATCTCCCCCGGTAAAGTGCCCGAATCGGAATTTTCGGCTACAAACAACGATGCAAACAACGAACTTCATAACTTACTCGTTCCAATTTCGAAACTTCAATTTCAAAAGCCACGAAAGAAACGGTGTCCGTAGGAAAAATACACTTCCATCTGCCACTAATTCTGATAGCAGCGGGAATGATCAGAAATTATATTCAGCTGCACGTATACAGTATAAATATCCGACGGCAAAGCTCCCAATTCCGTTGAGGAAAATGCCTTTACATTACTAAATGAACTTCCATAGAGTAAAAATATAGCTGACTAGATATTTCATTTGTAAAACCTGATGCATGAAGGTTCCATACACAGAAGAGTAAATGGACCAGTGAAAACGATGAGTGTATTTGGTACGTTGTATTGTGGAAGGGATTATGAAGAGCGATGAGGCAGAGGGGACGGAAGAGAGTTACATCCGGTTACATCCTTATCCCATTCACAAGTCGAGACAGCGAGACAGGAGACAAGAAGGGGGGGAGGGGAGGGGGGGGGGGGAGTGCCGAGCACGTCCAGGCACGAGAATCTCAGGGGAGAGGGGGGATGAGGAAGGAGTATGTGCGAGTGAGGATTGTGGCGAGCGGGGGCGGATTCGCAACCGGGAACAGTCGGCCGGCGCAGCGTGAATTTTTCTTCCGGTTCGAGGGGAAACACTCGGCTTGAATGAATTTTCCGAGGGGACCTGACCTTACATTGCAAATATGAATGTGTCCATACATTCCAGAGAACCCCCTCCATCGATCTATCAGAGAATATTACAAGATTTCAGCATGGAAGTCGTGTCAGGGAGGCTATAAGAAGCGAGCGTACAGGAGGGAGGAGAGGGGTGGATAACAGTCGGATACGAGAGACGTCACGAGTGAGCAGGGAGAGAAAAGGTGGTGTTTCGGGCATCGATTCACTCGAGAGACCCTTTGCTGCCGACGTGTCAAAAAATATGCGGTGATTTTTCATCAGAGACTGATCGGCCGCGCCGATGAAAGCCTAGCTCCGGCGGAGGCAGGCGGTCGGTATCCTGCCGGAAACGCTTGGCTTGAATGAATTTTCCCAAGAAACCAGAGCATTGATCACAAAGATGAATGCAAATCCACGCACTCCAGGCACTCATATCTATCGACCTATCAGAGGAAATTTCACGAGTTACGTCTGAAATGCGATTTCAGACGTTTTTCGACACCTTTGTTGAATGGGGGGCGAAATATTATTTTGG